TGTATCGAAACTGCAGCAGTGGTTTGTTAGTTTATCGTCCTCTAAGAAAACGGTAGATGGTCGAAGAATATATGACTGACTTACAAATTACCTGGTTCTGCGATACATCTTCCTGTATCCAAAGCAATTCCACACCACAGTTGTTGACTTTTTTGTCACTAGGTCCTCCTGCTCTCTTCTCTTCGCACTCTGTTTAGGCTCGTTGCATTATAATTTGTTAAAATAGCATACTGCAGGAAAATCGTGTTGTAAGGTTATTTTGAAATCATGCACATCCAAATGGCAATTTCGATATTATATATTTTAATTATTGCACAGCCTTAGCGTACATACTGTATCAAACCATGCCACTAATGAAATGAGCTATTAGTGTTGTTATCATAATCTTTTTTTTTCCAGCAGATGTGTACCTATGATGAACTAAACAGAGAATGAACTAAAGATTTTCCCACATACAGAAAATTGTATACTAGCAAACCACTTTGACATTTTGAAACAAACTCTGTTTTGGCTTGATTTTGAATTCGAAATGACATCACACCAGTCCATTCGGTGATTTCAGCAACATATATTGAGTCCTTTAAGTGCATCCGTCTATTTGAATCCAACCGAGGTAGTAATGGAAACAGCTTTTTGGTCTCAATTGTTTAGGTGAGGGCGGCCCAAAAAAGCCCATTAGCAACAGCATCCCGTCCCTTTCACTTATTGGCTCTCTCTGCATTAGAGCGTAAATTGATGGTAAAAAAGCGAGGACTGTGCGGCAGGGGAACCTGCTCAGGGGGGAAATTTATGCACGGTGAATATCTTCTTTCCTGAGGCGAAATGATAGTAATTTGACTGTCAGCCTGATAGCTTCATACGGCGTCCTCTCTCGCTGGTCTACCCGCACCGGCCACCTGTCACCCCGCCTGATGTATTGCACAATAAAAGAGCCTCATTGGATTTTCCAAACCTCCCCCATGGGTTGTGACAGCGAGATAGAAGGGGAGCTAAGGAATGAAACGGGTCCTTGTCGGCATTTTCAGCAAAGGACAGGGGTCACCGTCGGCATGACCTCCGGCTGACAGGGCGGCGAGATGGGTAAGCAGGCTGTCAGCCATATGCCAGTCGCCCACCTGCACACATATATAAACTCTCTCTCGCTTTCTTTCAAACGCAGCTGTTTCACTGCCTCCTCAATACACTCAAATACTTTAAATAATGCAATCAGCAGACTTTTCAGCCACTTTTATGCCCATAGCCATCTCTGCCAAAGGCTGTTACAGCATAAATGCAGCCCATTTCCCCTCCTGTGGCTTGAGAGGAAGAAGTGAGGAGCGACCCATGCTGATTTGGTCTGATTCTGCTGCAAGAGCTTGTGATTACGTGCACCTTGAAAAGTGCCTTAATTTATTCCTTGCGATGTAAATATTATAAATCAAACTTGAAGTGACTTTATTGCTATTCTTCCTCACAAAAACATGGAGCACCTTGCGCAGGTAGTAGGCACTAATGATTGTACCACTTAAAGTAACGTGTGAGAGAATGTACTAGCTGTTTCTTTGTAATCAGCACAACCTCCTGCGATATTCTAGAAAACTTTATAAAAGAAACAAAAAGAATAGTGGCTTTTAAGATGTATTTGAGGTTCTTAAAATGTATTGGAATGCATTCAGTTGCTGTGGCTTCACAAAAATGGGGCCCGTTGGTAAATCGGCTGCATCCAGCAGCAAATTAGATTCTAACGCATATCTTTGTTACCGTGTTGAACAACTCGAATGATTCATCCTGGAAACATCGCTCATTGACAGGCACAAGGAAAGTCCATAAGAGAGCGAGAGGCTGCTAATAGACAAGGAAATGAATTAAACATGTTTTCTTTTTATAACCTCGGGAACAAAAATAAGCTTTTAAGAATAAACCGGCAAGACAGAGCTTGGTGCGACCTTGCTTTTCGCTTTCATTTTGTTCCATTTGTCAAGCTCGTCCTCCCTCGATTCTCCAATCCAGCTCATTTGAAAAGAAATCACATCTCAAATTGGCTGCGCCGTTTCCTTTTCCTGCAAATAATAAGCAGTAAAGTGTTGACCTGCACTACAATAAAGACCGTTGCAAGGGTTAGTACATTTGATTTGGATGTCTTACACTGCCCTCACCAACCCCTGAAAGCCTCTTGCTTCTATCTGCCATATGAATTTGCATTAGTTTTCAGCTTAAATATCCCGATTTAATTCCAGCCTTTCTGACTGAGAGCAATAGCAAATGCATCTAGTCACCAACCAGAAAAATCTGCTTTAAGTCATGCGTGCGCCAGGCAGAACGCGCTAAGCAGAACTCCATGTTGGTTTGTGCAGCCTACTAACTGATTTCCAATTACTTTCGACAGTCATGCCTTGCCAAGAGCTCAAAAACCCTAAATCCCTCACCTCAATCGTTCAAGACTCATGAGCATGAGAAAAACATATTTGAGGAAACAGGCTCCAACAAACACTCTGTAATCTCTGTTTCCTCTGATGGCCTTGGTATGCGGCGCACAGTTTCAGCTTATGCATTGTGCATGCACTACACTGCACAGCATAATATGTCTCAACACAGTTCATCCTCTTTGTCGGCTCTCCTTTATGTGTTTGTGTATGTGTGGGCAGGTGTGTGTGTGTGACCTTGCCCTAGGCCCTGGTCCCCTCCCGTCTCCCTAGTGAGGTGAATAAGAGAGCAGATTTGGCCCAGAACTGCTGGCCACTCTTCTGTTTCTGTGGCTCCAGCAGCTCATGCATTATTGAGCTGTGCTGTGACAAGAGTCTCTACACCTGAATGCCTTAAAAGAAAATTAGGCAACCTGGGCAGCCAATCAAAAAAGAAAAAAAGAGAGGAGTGTAAGGGGCAGCGGAACTCTCTGGGGTTCATATGGTGGGGAAAGTGCACACGTCTTTGTGAACAGGTGTATTTTGAATGAATCATGATTTAAAGGGGCCGATTTTAGCACTTGGACAGATTGGAGAGCAGGGGTCGCTTCGTAATTCAGTTGGGGAAGAAGTGAAACTTTTGGCTAACATTCTGAATAAACCTCTGTGAACACTGTGGAGGTCATTAAGCTTAATTGTTGTGGTCAAAAAATACATTTGAATCTAGGGCTTGATATTCACATCCATTCAATGTGGGTGGATTTCAGCAGAGCACATTTGATCAGACCATCCAATAGTGATTTTTTATACAACAATGTTCAGCACTAAAGCCTGTCTGGGACATTTGAAAATTTAGGACTGGACAAGTAGCCTTATTCCAGTGATAAAGAAAGTACATGAAATATATATATATATATATATATATATATTTGTGTGTGTGTGTGTGTGTGTGTGTGTGTGTGTGTGTGTGTGTGTGTCTGTGTGTCTGTGTGTCTTTGTGTCTGTGTGTGTGTATGTATAACTTGCGTAAAAAATGCTTGATTTTAATGTAGTTAAAGGGCCATAACCCCCTACATACAAAACTTGGGAATTAAGAAAATACACTGATTTATTTATAAAAACTAACTTAAAGGCACTGAAAACACTGGAGACTCAAAAAAGATATGGGGAATTAACAATTCAAGATCAGACCAGAGAATAAACATACGCAAGGGTATAAATACAAGCAACATGATTATACTAATAATGCTGCGGTCACACTGCACTTTTCTCTCCTTACACTTCCATTCATACGCACGCGAATGCATCTGTCCAGAAACGCAAGCTCATGCGTCAAGTTTCGCAGATCACTGCGTTGGAATGGTCAAGCTTAGTGAACTTTGACCTGCGAAATTGCATCACTTGACTGCACGAGACCAGTGGAGAATCAAAACATGACCTCTCTGGACAGAAATTTAAAATATGGAGCAACCGCTGATTTTTTTAAATGTCTAATCAATCATCTTGTTTAATCCTGCCCCTTTTCGCAGCGCCATATGACAGAATTTCGCAAACTCAAACTCTATTGTGACTGTAGCTTTACAATGAAGAAACACAGGTGAAACATGAAAATTAACAAACAGCTGGAAAATGGGACAAAGGAATCACATGACATAAACATCAAGCACATGGAGCACAGCACATGGCGAAGTCACATGACATAAAGTCACAAGACACCAGAAAGTGACTAAAAATAAGAATTCAGCCAACTAAAAGTAATAATTCAGTGACTCATAGTTCATACATTCATTTTACTTTTCTCAGATTCAGTATTGCTAAAATTGAATAAAACATGTAAAATGCTAATTGAGAATATTACGCAAACCTAGAATAAGTAAAAAAATAATAATAATCAACTAATAACAATAATTCAATGATTCATAGTTCACAAATTCCTTTACTTTTCTTAGATTCAATATTGCTAAAATCTAAAAAAACAAGTTAAATGCTTATTGAGAATATTACAGAAACCTAAAATAACTAAATGATGAATAATACAAAAATCCTTCTAGTTTAATAACCAATATCTTTGCTGATAAACAACTAAAAGGTTTGCTTGAGCTTTGCCTCTTCTGTACAGATGCACATTTATACTTCTCTCTGCCTGAGGCTTACTCTATTATTATTGCAGTGAAAGAGGTCTTACAATTGCCTAAAAACTTACTTTAGTTAAATACTAAAAACAAACAATGAAGAACAGCCCAGATGAAAAAAGCAACACAAAAGCAACATACCACTTTTCTTTTTTTTTTCTTTTTTTTTATGAAAAGTGATGCAATAAATTACATTTTAGGGCAATATTGTAATCCAATACATTTAAAAGTAACTTCGGATAGGCAACTTAAAAGTACAGTTCCCCAAAGTGAAAAGTCTTTCATCATTTACTCACACTTCTATTTTATCACAAATAAAAAACAAACTTGCATCATTAAAAATTTATGGAAAAAAAAACGTTATATGTTGAGCGATGCCTTGATCTTGAAAGAAAAAATTACCAAAGCTAAGACTAACCTTGATGAATCCCTCTGCAACTTAAGGATGCCATTCAACAAATCTATTTCTCTATTTCTCTGTCCACAGATTCGTAACGCAGCATCTGGCTTATGCGTCGACTCTAAACATGGCTCTACAGGCACTGAGCTCCGATTGGACAATTGTCTGAAAGAGGGCGCAGAGCGAACATGGGCACATGAGCAGGTACAATAATCTGCAATGCACATCACATATTTCAGTCAGAAATTTTCAGGTCTGAACCGCATTAGATGGCTGACTATGAATGTACACTCTACACTGATATGCGTGTTGACATGATACAGAGCTTCTTGAAACTGAGAGTATTGCTGTTCCCTGTGGTGGACAGATTTTCACGTTTGGCTGGAGAGAGGACATCAGGCCTGGAGATCCACTGCACACCAGAAAATTCTGCTTCGATGCTATTAGCCAGAACAGCCCTATCACGCTCTATGACTGCCATGGCATGAAAGGCAACCAGCACTGGAGCTACAGGAAGGTAAAGCAAATAATCTGCTTGTCAATATTTTGTGACAGAAAGAATTTCAGGTTTAAGTCTATACTTATTTGAGTGGAAAAGCTCAACTCCACTCAAATCCCAATAGCATCCATGACCACTGTTTAGTTGTGTTACAAATTAAAGCAAATCTTTTACAGTTTATAATGTAACAACAGTTTCTGGATAAAAGATTAAGCAGTGTCTGACAAAAAGCCAACACCAAATAAAGCTGACTTCTCTCGATGTGGAGGAGCAGTGACTCTACTCCGAGCTCCTCCCACGTGACAGAGTTCCTCGCCCTGTCTATAAGGGTGCGCCCTGCCACCCTTCGGAGGAAACTCATTTCAGCCGCTTGTATCCGAGATTTTGTCCTTTCGGTCATGACTCAAAACTCATGACCATAGGTGCGAGTAGGAACGTAGATTGACCGGTAAATCGAGAGCTTTGCCTTTCGGCTCAGCTCCTTCTTCACCACAACGGACCGGTACATCGACCTTATTACTGCTGCCACTACACTGATCAGCCTGTTAACCTCACGATCAATCCTTCCCCCACTTGTGAACAAAAGCCCTAGATACTTAGGGTAAGGACCCCAAGATAATTGGGGTAAGGACTTTCCTCCAACCTGGAGATGGCAAACCACCTTTTTTCAACTATATATATCCATGCCTAATATTAGATGGTCGGAATGTGTTAAATGTTTTATAAATTGTATAATTATTGTTGTTTGTGTGATGCAGCAAGTCCAGAGACTGTGGTGTGCACCATGAATTTATATAAAATGCCCTTTAATGTGTGATATGACTGAAAAGTGGTCACAAACCAATATTTTTTTCAATTCAAATGACTACCAAACCCAGAAACAGTATTTCATACCTCATGACTTAACAAGCAGATAGACTCTACAGATATTTAATATTCATACACAAACGTTAAAGATTCATACTTATTGAGATAAGAATAAAAAACATCTAAAACTTTAAAGTTTTCTTCTCATTTATACTGTAACAATGTCAATTCTAAAGTATTTAAATGAAAAAATTTTTTTGAAAAAAGGACCAACTACCCTAGAGTTAAACAGTTGAGTTTGAATTCATTCAGTCCATCTTTAGGTCTGGCAGGACACTTTTTTTTTTTATCCTATCATCGATCACTGAATCAGTTTAGTCCATTAGCATGTCGCTCAAAAATGACCAAAGACTTTTTTGTTTTAATTGTGCCTGCTGCAGCTATGGTACATCAGTTTCTTAAATATTGCGCTGGAATGTGAGTAAGTTTTCTAGACAAATCCGCCATCATCTCCTTATTTTCTGTCAGTCTTTGTATACAATAGCTATGTTTCCATACAAAGATGCAAATTAAATTTATGTGCAAAACTGGAATATCGCATAAAGATGTGCGAAAAAAGCAGCATTTCCTTCTAAGAGTCAAAGAGAACAAGATTGTGATTACTCCTAAATAACTGCAGCCAAATATCAAGAGTAAAATTGGAATTTATTGAGGTAGGAGAAGCTGCGTGAATCTTTTCCTTATTTATTAAATGACTTGCGCTTTAGAAGACAGTATGCCGACACACAATGAACGCTTGGTGGTGTTTGAAAGATTGAAACATGGAGCACAGACACTCTTGACAGTTCTGGAGATAATTATTAATATAATCCCTGCTGAAAAATCCAGCTTAAACCAGCCTAGGCTGGTTGGCTGGTTTTAGCTGGTCGACCAGGCTGGTTTTAGAGGGGTTTTGGCCACTTCCAAGCTGGTTTCCAGCCATTTCCAGCCTGGTCTTAGCTGGTCAGGCTTAAACCCACCTAGGCTGGTTTAAGCTGGATTTTTCAGCAGGGATAACACTAATACAGAAATGGTTAAGGCGTTTTAGAATGACCAAAACAACATTTATCTAAAATGCGCATAAAAATACGAGGATGGAAACGTACCTAATGTAACTACATACGAGTCTAGGTTTATTAGCAAGATGCTAATGGTTTAATACAGTTTAATTATCTATGCTAAGCTAATTAGCATCCAGAATGGAATCAAAAATGGTGAAACTTGTCTGTTTAACTTTAGAGGAGTTGTAAATTAAGCCAATTTTCAAATAAAGTGGGAGGCTCTCTAACATAAAATAAATTACAGCCTGCATGAGTGTTGCTGTACACCCAGATTTTCACTTCATGCATTTTCAGACATATACCATCTCTAAGGAAAAGCCGCACCTGTCTTCTTCCATATTCTCTCTCCACATCTTCTTAAAGAGGTCAATAAAGTATATCTACAGCAACAGCACAATGCTAGGATTGAGTCCCTGTGGATTATAAAGCCTGCCGCTCGGAGCCCATCACCAGCAATCGAACCTAATACAGAAGCACAGTTATTCCAACCCTCTAGTGAGCCTAAACTGAGAAATTCCCTCTCACACAAGAGCTTTAAGGTGCCAAGCAAAGAAATCACTGTCATTGCGGGGTAGGTCAATGATGGCGCTATAGAGAGAGGAAATATACAGTTGAAAGGAAGAGGTGGTACCTGGGAGTGGAGCTGCCTGAGGCGCAGAGAACAGTAAATCAACCCAGGGGAGAGCAGCACAGAACTGCAGCCCAAAGCCCGAAGGCATGTCCCTCCTCTGCTCAGCCTGATCACTCCCACTGGGACACACATCCGCTATTTTTTCACCTGCTCTGTTTGGCATACTCAGTAGTTTCTAGCGCAAAAAATATATATACATGCCTCGTGTGCTGTGGAAAGCACTTTCAAGTCCAAACTTTCTTTGTTGCCTTCCGCTTTTTGATAGGAGATTGATGATGAGCCGCTCCCTTGTTCTTTAACTTTTACTTACCTTGACCCCTCTCATTTTCATTTTCTACCTGCCAGTGATGTTCAGTTATGTTTTTAAATGAGTCAGAGTCATCACAGGTTTTAAAATATAAAGGTTCAGTTAAAATCCATGTTACATATATTTTTTAAATACTTACACATTCAAACATAATAATAATAATAATAATAATAATAATACATACAATATATGTTATTAGAATTAGTATAGTGGTAGTATTATATAATTAGTATAGTTGTAGGATTAGTATAGTAGTATAGTAATACAGCCATATTCCAAAATAGATTAAATTTATTTCTTTCAATTTCAATTTTTTTTAATTGTTGCAAATTTATCCAAAAAAAAAAAAATATTGGAAAAATCCCATGTACATACAGTAAGTATTCACAGCTTTTGCTCAATACTTTGTTGATGCAGCTTTGGCAGCAACTACAGCAATAAGTCTTTTTAAATAGGATGCCACAAGCTTGGCACACCTGTCTTTGGGAATTTTTGCCCATTCCTCCTTGCAGTACCTCTCAAGCTCTATCAGGTTGGATGGGAAGCGATGGTGTACAGCTATTTTCAGATCTCTCCATAGATCTTCGATAGAATTTAGGTCTGGGCTCTGGCTGGGCCTCTGAAGCACATTCACCGAGTTGTTATAAAGCCACTCCATTCATATTTTGTTTATTTGTTTGTATCTATTTATTTATTTTGCTTAGTTATTTTTTGTAAAAAGTTTAGTGTCACTAGCAGCCCGACGTATGCAATAGTGTAAAAAAAATATTTTTGTGAATTAATAACTGAATATTATTACACAGTAAGTGCAGTTATTCTCAGTGATGCTCATTGTCTGTTCCAGAGATGTGGACCAATGAGAGGGGTCTGGATGCAGACTCTGTGCAAGCTGAGGTGCATGCAATGCTTTAAATTTGCACACCTAAGCCTGTTCCTAACCCTACCTCCTCACAGTGACTTCACTAGCTCCATTGAGTGCACTGTGTCTAACATTGCAAGTCTGAGATACGCGGTCTCAATTTGTAAATCCATGTCTGCATCCAGATACTATTGGGACCAATCAGAAAAACTGTTTAGTGCAGTAAGTTACCATGACAATGGCAACATGGCAGAGTCATTTCTGAGCATATCATTGCATCTCGTGTTTGCCTCCACGTGAATGGCTTCTAAGTTGTTATACTGCTGTGTCCTTTCTTGCCTACCTAAAGTGATTAGCACATCTGGACTGACTGTATTCATCATCAGATTGTTTAATCTGAACCGTGAACCCTGTAACATGATGATTCAGGAAAAATAAATGTACCGTTACACGCCTATAACAGTAAAATTCATTCATTTTCTTTTTGACTCAGTCCCTTTATTAATCAGGGGTTGCCACAGCGGAATGAACCGCCTACTTATGCAGCATATGCCCTTCCAACAGCAACCCATCACTGGGAGGCACACATACTCTCTTGCATACCCATTTCACCTGTACCGCATGTCTTTGGACTATGGGGGAAACCGAAGCACCCGGAGGAAACCCACGCAAACATGGAGAGAACATGCAAACTCTGCACAGAAACGCCAACTGACCCAACTGAGGGTCGAACCAGCGAACTTCTTGCTGTGGAGCGATAGTGCTACCCACTGCGCCACCGTGACGCTCACATAGTAAAATTATAAAAATGAAAATTATTCAGCCTTATTTTTCTTGACCAAGACTCTAATGGTCTAATCAAAATCAATGATTTATGCTAAGCTAAGCTAAATGTGCCTCACCAGACCCAGAGATCGGGCAAAATTAATGGATAAAAAAAATTGTACAACTCAACAATTTAACTCTTGGGGATATTCCTTAAAGAGAAAATATTGACAGATGACAAATTTCATGTTTTGTTTGTCATCAAAAGCCACATAGGCTACAGACGTGGATAGCCACATTTTATTTTGACCTTGCTGATTTTATTATTTATTGATTTTTCTCATCTTAAATTTATTTTAAGCATGCCATAAAATACTGATCTTCATGTAAGTGATTTCTCCCCACTAAATTCAAATGGTTTTATCTGAATATATCTAGATTGATCAAATTTCCTGAAGAGATACTGCCCTTTACCATCTCCCGTCCATCATTTCTCAATCTCTCAGGTTCCACTACCAACCTTAAGGCATGAAATGAAGTCAGCTTTTTCTGATTAGCTTATTCAGTGTTTTGCTTCTTCAGTTTTCACCCCTGTAATCTGACTGAAGGCTAGCGGCAGATAAAGCAGGATTAAACCTCCGCCAGAGTCACGGTGACTGTTTTTTGCTTATTTATTTGTATTTCACCCTCTTCCCCCCTCTCTCTCTCTTTTTCTCCTTCCCATCTTCTTCTCACTCCAGGATAAGTCTTTGTACCACCTGGTGAGCAGCGGTTGCATGGACTGCAGCCCGAACGATAAGCGGATTTTCATGAACAAGTGTGATCCCAAGTCTGAAACACAACAGTGGATCTTCCAGAAAGTCAACGCCACCGTTCTGGACAAATTCAACAGCGCCGCCAGCTCTTAGGACCTGGGGTTGTGGTCAAGCCAATTACAAAGAATAATACTAATCTGGCTTCCACACATAAACACACCTCCCACAATCCTTCACGTGGGCCGGGATGTTCTTGGTTTCTGGTTCCTCTCGAGGTTCTACTGAAGACTGAGCAAAAATGAGGGGACTGGAAACAACCGAGAGACTCAAGGCTGGTGGAAAACATTTCCACAATGAGCACCTTGCTGGTCGAGGAGAATACAGACAGCCTGGACTCTCTCACGGGGGTCTAAATTGGGCCCTAACCTTGGGAAGAAAAAAAAAACAGAGCAGCTTTAGGACTTCGGAAATGGAGTCCAGTGAGAGACTGTTCTGTAGCAGATTGCATGGGGGATTTGTACAAAAAGCAGAAACTGGAAAGAGTTTGCTCCTGGTTTTTATTTTTATTTAATTTGTATGGCTATTTATTTGATTATTGGGGTCGTTTAGACTGTATATTTATTTGTATTTATTTGGTGCCTTTTCCAGATTTTAGTTGTGTATATTGACTGGGTTTTATTATTATCTCTTGTACCTGTTAGAGTCAGACTAGGGGTTGAGATGGTGACCTTAAATGAGGTATTTGACTTTTTTTTCAATGGAATCTATCTTGTTACAGACTTTCTCGTCTATAAATAAAGCAGAAAATGAGTGGATGTGTGGGTCTGTCTTTGTCTTGCTGATAGATGATCAAATGCTTAGTATCGTACCTCAAAAGTGGTGTTTTGGCTCCCTCTGGTGTTGAGTCGCCTGTAATTTTTGTAGGTAATCACTCCTGCTTAGATATAACTATAATTTGATCGTTTAAAGGGTTAGTTCAACCAAACATGGAAATTTACTCACTATTTACTCTATTTAATTTTTTATTGTGTTTACTTAACCGTTTTGGGTTTTTTTAAGAAAACTGTAACCCTTGACTATCATAGAAAAATGTGTACTTTGGAAGTCAATGGTTACAGGTTCTTAACATTCTTCAAAATTTCTTCTTTTGTATTCAACATAAGAAAGAAGCTCAAATAAGTTTGGAACAAGTGAAGGGTAAGTAAATGATGTCATTTTCCATTTTGGGTGAACCATCCCTACAAGAAGTAACTCATTTTGTTTTAATAAAACTGCTTGATAACTAAATCTGAACTGTATTTCATTTGCTGCTTTCCTGTTTTGATTTACATGTTAATGATTTATTTATTTATTTTTATTTATTTATTTATTTATTATTTTTTTTGGTGACAACAGCAATGAATATTTTAAGTGTCCTTCCTTCCTTCAAGATAGAAAATGTGTCTTTTTGTACTTATTAAAATCAATACAAGATGATAGATATTTATGATAGATTTTGTTGTCTTTATGGGATCTGGCAGTGTGTCTTTAATCAAACAGTTCTGTTTAATGGTGCGATGTAGAGCTGCTTTGAATGAGCTTGAATGCTCTCAATAACCTGAGCCCTGGCAGAGAAGCAGAATAAACAGTCAGGGTTTTGGAAGGGAAAAACTGCATTCATTTTCTCCATATAGAATTGGTTATTTTTTTTTAACAATTCAAGGCAACAATTTACACATAGATATTGCTTGACGTTATTAGCAGGTTTGGCATGCTATCCCGAGAGAGAACCCTGAGCTCTGAGATAATTAAGCCCAAGGCCCGCCTAATCAATCAGCATGTAAGGGAATCAGAGATCAGATAGGTCTTGAGAGATGGGGGGGAAGGGGGGATTTTTCCAAAATGAAGAAAAGGCAATAGGATGAAATCGGTCAATTTATTGTAGACTTGGATCAATCTGATTAGATTATTACTGATTACGGATGGTAGATCAGCCACGATCAATCATATCATGTTCTCCTCTTGAAAAGTAGTTTATAAAACTTCACTAACTGACTGTATTTAAAGACAGACCTGCTGTTTTCTTAAACCATCTGTTCACATTAACTTGTCTTAAACAGTTTTTATTTTATTTATTTATTTTATTTTATTTTTTTTATTTTTTTTGAGAAATTTACACAGAAAACCACATTGCCCATGATCCTGTACAGAAAATCAATTTCTGTTGTGAAACAATCAAGACCACATAATTTTTATCCTAATGCCAGAATTAGGGTTTGAGTAAAATGTTAATATTTGATTTATTCTCTACAGGATAGCGATTATTCCATGAAATAAATGTACAGTATAAATGTTGCCATTTAAAACATTTATTTTCATTTTTATTTTTCCAGATAATGGCTACTGGTTTGAATAACAAATGTTTTCATTTGATGTGGTCAAAAATCCTAGTTGTTCCACCAAGCATTGATTTCGGAGCTTTTCAGAAATTAAAACATAGTTTTTTTTTTGTTTTGTTTTTTGTTACATTTGTTACAAAATAAAACAGAAATTTCACTTTACTCAAAACTAGATCTTAAATCCAGAGAAATTGATAATATAGAAAAGAAGTTAAAGAACATATTTTTTATTATCATGAAGCATCACAGGTTGTGGCATATTTTATATGATGAATACACTGTAAAAAATAATTCCGTTAAATTTACAGTAAAAAACCGGCAGCTGTGGTTGCCAGTACTTTACCGTTAAAAACACGGTACAAACCGTAAAATTAATTTTTCATTTTTACGGTAAATTACCTTATTTTATTAGAGGTAATATGTCTGTATTTTAAATGATCGACATCTATACATCTTTTGTTACACAGTTAGACATGTTAGCACACCCAGATGCAGGTGGTGATGAGGAAGTTACATAATGAGCCAATGCTTATCACGATTAACTTTTCCCACAAGCAGAAAAGAGTGTCAGCATATAGAAGGTGCTCAGTGTCATTTGCACAGCTACTAAACACCAGTATGGTAACACGCATAAAATTAAAGTCATGAAATAAACATTGTTTATCAACATTAGATGTAACATAAATCTCTAATGTACAGGGGAAACTGATAGGGAAACAACTAAACTGATGGGGAAACAACTAAAAAGATCCATATTAATGTCAAACAAATGCATAAAAAGTGATGTGCCATGCAGGGAATTCTGGGAAAGTCAATTTACGGTTATTCGCCGTAAATATTAAGGGAACATACTGTTAACCAGGTTACGGACTTGTACTGTAGCATTTTTACAGTTTTTTTACCGTTGAAATCACGGCCATTTTTTACAGTGTATATTAATTTTATGCTGAATATATATGTATATGTGTTTTTACCATAGACTGTAAAATATAGGTTTTTACACACTGAAAATAATATGATTCAAAGATGATTCCTTGGATTTACAAATGTTTTTCTAAGGTAAGTGGTTGTAAATAATTCATTTGTGCTGAATTTAAACAAACAAATTAAGTTGAACATTACTAAATTTAATTTGTTTGTTTAAATTCAACACATATCATTTTTTGCAACAATTTTGCTAAAAAAAAATTTGTGTACAAAAACTTGTCAATTATTTTGTACCAACATTTTAAAATAGCTTATTTTAATAATATCCTTTCTTTTAATTATTCAGTTAGTCATTATTCGTAAATTATACATTTTCCATAGTCATAGCATAAACATTCACTGGTAAATATTCCAAAATATTTTCACAGCCAAGTTAAATGTCTTTACTATGTTCTTAATTAACTTTATATCTAAAATTTTGTATGCTATTATTGAACAAATGCAGCAATGTAATTTTAGTTTGAAAGTTTTCCCCCATCCGAGTCTGATCCTTTTAGACAAGCACATTAATCCTGCTGACTAAGAACTCACTGCAGGATCACGCACTGATATAAAGAGTAAGTGAAAACATCCTGGAAATATCTATGTTTGCGATAAAATGTCAACACTGTAAATGTGATGTGTTAGTTCATAGTATTGAGCACTAGGGGGAGCTTATCGTCCACAAATACTTTCTTATCTTACCGCGAGTGATTCATCATTAGTTTGACAATACATCTCAGTGATTTGTTCACAGTTTTTCTCTCTGTTCTAATAATATATAACATGTTAGCCTACTAGAGTGTATGTTTACGCCATTTCATTTTAAGTTGATCAAAGAGCAAATCTGAAATGGACATTGAGCTTCCAGGCAGGAACTTTGGTGTACTGGAATTATTTATTAACTAAACATTGTGCATGTTTAATATTGTTATGGTTTACAATGCCATAAACCCTTACACATAATCTTTTTAGAGGGAATCTCTTCCACAAACATATTTGGATTTTTACAGTTATACATGGGCTCCATACATTTATTTATTTATTTATTTATTTATTTATTTATTTATTTATTTATGTATGTATGTATGTATGTATGTATGTATGTATGTATGTATGTATGTATGTATGTATGTATGTATGTATGTATGTATGTATTTATTTATTTATTTATTTATTTATTTATTTATTATTTGTTTATTTGTTTGTTTATCCATTTATTTTAATGCATGCTATTTATGTTTTTGTTTTTGTATACACTTGATAAGCAATTTAAAAGTTTGTGTATGCAATTTTATAGGTTTCTTTCACAGAAATACTTTATTTTCAGTAAGAAAATACCAAAGCTGCCTTTATTTGCAATACTATTAGATTATTTTTAAACCATTTATTTCTATTATAATATTATAATACTGTAAATTTCTCAAATGGCAAACCATATAAATACTTATTATTATAACCTTTATTTTACCAGGAAAGACACATTGAGATTAAAAATCTCTTTTACAAGAGCGTCCTGGCCTAGATTATAGGCAGAATACATGTCACATGGGTCTAACAGACAACAAACAAAAAACAACTGACAGTTAACATGAATCACACTGACAAACAATTTATTCAAAACATCTACAAGGCTGTGGTTCAATTTCTAAACCATTTATATATATATTTTAAACGCATTTAATCAATTCTGTAAACTGCAACTTTGGTTTATTTACTGTCTGTTCCTATAGTGCATACTGAGAGGGGTGAAAAAAAGGCTTTTAAATACCTTTTGCATGGAATAATCTATAAACAAAAGACCAAAGGCTATGGCTAAGGACAGATTTTTTACAGATGTAATTCTGGAGATATGATGTGAGCCCAATATAGATTTGTAAATGACAAATTTACGAATGCACAAAGCAGACCAACCTACCCTAGTACACAACACGCAATGATGAGTAAGGAATTTAAAATTAGTTATAAATCTTAGTGCATCATGGTAAACAGTATCTAATACATGCAGACACTAAGGCAAAGCATGCATAGATAACATCACAGTAGTCCAATATCGACAATAATAGTCACTATAGTCTAATATTTACTGCATCATTACTTAAGTCTTCAGTGTCACATCTTTCTGGTGTTGCTAAATAAATGTGCAGTATATTACTAATATGATGAAAAATCTGTTATCTTTAATGTTAAAACACTTGTGCCAACTATTTATTTTATTTTCCCTCATTCACTCGCTCACTCACTATCCTTTGGCAAGGGTCACCAGAGAGGAATGAACCACCAATTATTCTGGCATATGTTTTATGCAGTGGATGCCCTTCCTGCTACAACCCATATACTCTCTCTCACACACACACACACGCACACACACATTCATTCACTACAGTCAATTCTGTTTACCCAATTCACCTATATCCATGTCTTTGGACTGTAAGGGAAACTGGAGCACCCAGAGGAAACCCATGCAAACA